AATTTGTTGTCGCTACGAACGTGAGTTGTGATACGCATACTTATTGGCCAAAGCACTCATATTACACGGCATTGCTGACCAATGAGAAGCCGCAAAACAACACTAGCTATGGACGCAATGCAGGCCGATCGCCAGCCGAAAGAAATTCAATTCGCGGTCAGAAAAATATAAATAAAGTGCGTTTTTCGTCACTTTTTTTTTGGTTGTCCACCGGACAATGTCTCAGACTGGTTAGGTTGTCCGGCGCATATTCTGGTTGTCTCGCACAACCGGACAACGCTTATGTCGAGCACTGCCGTTGTGAAAATGTTCATGTATTTACTGATAAGTATATCCTGTATCTATATACCTATAAGTACATCAATACATCCTGTATTTGAATCCATCATGCACATTTTTTTCCCAAACTGGCCATTCCCTCCTTTATCTAATTTTCCCTCAGAAGAAACCTATTATATATATATTATATTCGCTATGTAGCCCTAACCTCTAAGTCTAACACCAACAAAAACATTAATGTTCAGAATTCCCTAACCTAATCCTAACCCCATCATGATCACATACGTACGAGGGGTCCCAAAACTTGAATCGACCCTCCTTCCACTTTTTACGCTGTGTTCACACGACTGCTAACAAACATTACAAGAGTCGAAATGGTTGTGGCTCAGCAACACACGGTACTTTTAGTACAGTGACTGCTTTGGAAACTCAAACGAGGAAACAGGAAATCACATTTGCAATTTGAATCCGTTAGGTGTACATTTAGGAGAAGCAATATCCTCTGTCCATGTATCATACACTCAGACGGAAATCTATACGTACAAAAACATGAAAAATTTAACTTGTCCTGTAATATGAACTAATAGCCAGCCTGTCAGCCTTCAATTAAGGCATAGCAAAACAAGGACCACAATGTAAATAAGTGTGCTAGTCATGCTTTTTGTGTATATATCCTTGGTAATTATCCAATTTTATGAATTCAAATTTTTTATTGTAAAAGTATGCAATGTATTGTATATGATGGATAATTGCCTAAATAAATAAATAAAATAAAATGTACAAGTGTGATTACCTATACTCACCAATGAGTGATTGATTACTCCTTGCTACTTACTACTACTAGGCAAATCAGTATTCTACTAGTACTATGGTGAAACCTTGCTTGTTTTGATCAATTAAGTTTCACCAGCCTTTAACACACAGTAAAAGTATAACAGGTCTTCATTATTGACATTAACAACACTAGTATGGAAACATTTTGAGATCTAATCTATTCGAATGTTAGAATAGTAGACAAATTTGAGTTTGATATTAAATCCTAGGCCTACTCAGCTACTGTAAACAGAGAATAATTACAATATTTTACTTTTACTTAGTTCCCGTATAATCATATAATCTATAAATGCTAATATTGTTAAAACTTAATTCTAGCTAATTCATGTACAAGCTCCAATAGCTAAATCATCCAAAGCTTCCCTTTTACTGCATTAATTTTCTGGAAACGCGGAACTCCAATAACTGTTGTGATGATTGGGAGGCCACGACAGAAACGGTGAAAGTTCAAGTAACTTGAACTTGCCATAGTCAATACAAGCACAATTAAGCGTATTATTACGCCGACTTAAATAAAATAAAATATTTACCTATGTACACTATACGTTCAAATTACCTTTACGTAATGACGACCAACGATAGTTCTCGTAGTATTAATTTTTTCTGCAAAATTTCAAGACACATTCAAAATACATGACCGATACTAGAAACATGGCAGTACTGTATCATCCGGGCTCTTCCCTTCCGGTTAGCTCGCGCAACGCTGACCAATAGAAAAAGATTTCACTAAATTAGTCACAATCGTTCGTCTGCTACAGGATTTCCCGTGCTTCGGTACTTCGGCTTTCATAAGGAGCGTTGCGTGGCCCATATATAAGCCACAGTTAAACTAATGTCACCGCTAATCGTATCGCTAGTATTGCTAAGATATGCAAAGTTCTAACGTACCACAATATCGAACATATGCTCCTGGTCCAACGCATGCGCCAAACACGTTTTGCGTCTCCAAGGAATGCATCTACCGCACTACGTCCTATATGAAATCGCAGTGTTTCTGGTAATTTTATTATTTCGTTGATACCTGACCGTGCGTCTCGATTATTTGAAAACAATTAGGTCTTTCGTATAAATGGAGTCTATAAATAAATTCTAGTGTTTGCCCGCAAATAGTACAAAGTTATGCTCGAACACTCTTCCACACCTGCCCGACGTGTGTGAATACAATCATCATACATTTATATGGCTATATCATACATTATATACATCACAACTTCTCGGTCAAGTAGTTCGTGCATTTCTAGATAATTTGTCATATTCATCGCAAAAAAAGGGGCTGAGCGAGGGACAAGGGCGGTAAGGGAAAGTTTTAAGGAAGGAGTTTTGCACCTTACAGGCTAGGGCGCTCTCCTAATTATAAACACAGGTCTACTGATAACAATTTATTCCATAAATCTATGCTAAGATACCCCATAACCATATTAAATGCGTAATCATCACAAAATATTACTCTTCTGGTGAGATATTGCGCACGCGCTAACACACTAACGTAGCCAGATTCTGTACTGACTCGTATATGCAGCGAGGACCTTACAGGCAAGATCTTCGTCCTATTTCTTAAGACAGGTCTACTGATAGAATGTTATTATATAAATCTATGTTAGAATGGCTCCTCTCCAGTTTAAAGGCATAATGTTTGTAAAATATTACTCTTCTCTAGAGATATTGCGCATGCGCGAGCACCGTTTCAGGCGTGCAGTGCGGACTGAAGAAAACTGTATAATATAGCTTGCTGAGAAAGCGAGCGAGAGAGAGAGAGAGAGAGATGGGTGGGTTATTGAGGAAAGGCAACAAGGAAGATAGCTGGGGGCGGTAGAAGAAGAAGGAGTCTGAGCGAAGAACAAGGGAGGTAGGGGAAGGGCAGGAGGGAATGAATTAGGAATTTTGCACCCTAGAGGCTAGGGCGCTTTCCTAATTATAAACACAGGTCTACTGATAAAAATTTATTACAGAAATCTATGCTGAGATACCCCATAACCATATTAAATGCATAATCATCACAAAATATAACTCTTCTGGTGAGATATTGCTCATGCGCTAACACAAAAACGTAGCCAGATTGTATACTGACTGGTATATGCAGTGAAGACCTTACAAGTAAGATCTTCGTCCTATTTCTTAAGAGAGGTCTACTGATAGAATGTTATCATAGAAATCTATGCTAGAATAGCTCCTCTCCAGTTTAAAGACATAATGTTTGTAAAAGATTACTCTTCTCTGGAGATATTGCGCATGCGCGAGCACCGTTTCAGGCGTGCAGTAAGGACTGAAGAAAACTGCATAATATAGCTTGCTGAGAGAGAGAGAGAGAGAGAGAGAGAGAGAGAGATATGGGTGGGAGACTGAGGAAAGGCAGCAGGGAAGATAGCTGGGGGTGGTAGAAGAAGAAGGAGTCTGAGCGAAGAACAAGAGAGGTAGGGGAAGGGCAGGAATGGATGAAGTAGGATTTGGCACCCTACAGGCTAGGGCGCTCTCCTAATTATAAACACATGTCTACTGATAACAATTAATTACAGAAATCTATGCTAAGATACCCCATAACCATAATAAATGCGTAATCATTACAAAATATTACTCTTCTGGTGAGATACTGCGCATGCGCTAACACACTAACGTAGTCAGATTGTGTACTGACTGGTATATGCATAGATATAGAAGAAGATCTATTTTCTTCTATATCTATGGTATACATGCAGCGAGGACCTTACAAGCAAGATCTTCGTCCTATTTTTAAGAGAAGTTTACTGATAGAATGTTATCATATAAATCTATGCTAGAATAGCTCCTCTCCAGTTTAAAGGCATAATGTTTGTAAAATATTACTCTTATCGGGAGATATGGCGCATGCGCGAGCACCGTTTCAGGTGTGCAGTACGAACTGAAGAAAACTGCATAATATAGCTTCAAGAGCTAATAATACCTATTATTACCTATTACTATAGATATTATTAGCTCTTGATAGCTTGCTGAGAGAGAGAGAGAGAGAGAGAGAGAGAGAGAGAGATATGGGTGGGAGACTAAGGAAAGGCAGCAGGGAAAATAGCTGGGGTGGTAGAAGAAGAAGGAGTATGGGCGAAGAACTAGGGAGGTAGAGGGAAGGGCAGGAGAGGATGAAGTAGGAATTTTGCACCCTATACAGGCTAGGGCGCTCTCCTAATTATAAACACAGGTTTACTGATAACAATTAAATACAGAAATCTATGCTGAAATACCCCATAAACATATTAAATGCATAATCATCACGAAATATTACTCTTCTGGTGAGATATTGTGCATGCGCTAACACACTGACGTAGCCAGATTCTGTACTGCATGACTGGTATATGCAGCGAAGACCTTACAGGCAAGATCTTCGTCCTATTTCTTAAGACAGGTCTACTGATAGAATGTTATCATATAAATATTTGCTAGAATAGCTCCTCTCCAGTTTAAAGGCATAATGCTTGTAAAATATTACTCTTCTCGGGAGATATTGCGCATGCGCGAGCACCGTTTCAGGTGTGCAGTGCGGACTGAAGGAAACTGCTTGCTGAGAGAGAGAGAGAGAGAGAGAGAGAGAGAGAGAGAGAGAGAGACAGTGGCGCACCGCCGTTGTCTAATTTAACACCGCCGTTGTGAAAATGCTTCAGGGTGCCTCAAATGCAGTTAAGATTTTTTTTATTTTGCTAGGGGAGACACCCCAGCGAGAGGGGGAGCTCCCTCTCTCCCCCTGCGTCCACCTGCAGCCTCCGCATGCGTGCCTACAGCACGCCTTTGAATCCATCATGTGCATTTTTTTCCCAAACTGGCCATTACCTCCTTTATCTAATTTTCCCTCTAGATAAAGAAAACATTCAGATTTTCCCTGATACACAGAGAAAACTAATACTTAGCGAAGGAGACGTGCGTACCTCGCCGTGCTTGTAGTTGACGCTGCCCGTGCGCGCCAGGTTCCCGACGACCCTCAGGTTCTCCTCGCGGCCCCCGTCTCCCGTCTCCCAGCCGGGTCTCATCGTCAGCTCGCTGAGCTCGAGCACGGGCCGAACGGTGAGCGTCACCTCGTCGCCGCTGCGCCGGATCAGCTCAATGACGTCGTCGCGCGACATCTCCTCGACGACGACCCCGTTGACCTCGACAAGGCGGTCGCCGGGCAGCAGACCCGTGCGGTTGTGCGCGCCGAGCGCGCCAGGCTCCGCGAAGATCACGTTGCGCGGGAACTCGTGGTGATCCGGCGCGCCGCCCCGCTCGACGACGACGGCTCGACGCAGCGAGAAGCCA